CCAGAAGCAGAGGCAGTCGAAGATCTCTGTGAATTAGAAGACAGCCTGGTCTACATATTAAGTTCCAGGACAGCTAGGGCTACATAGAGAAACCTTGTTAAACAAACAAACCCAACAAAACAATCATAACAATGAATAAAGTCTAAATCCAAAGGGCTCACAGAAGTGATGGTTCCTAATGTAAACTAATGTAAACTCTCTCATGAGACCTCAAGGGGGACAATCCATTGGTTGTGGGTTGTGGGTGTGGCATTGTGTAGCATGCACGAAGACCTAGGTTTAAACCCTTCAAACCAAAGAAAAGGAACAAAAACAAAACAAAAGAATCATGAGTCTAGGCCTCCTCTCCCGGCGACTTAATTGGAATACCTGAGAGTCAACAGCTAAGCAATTACATGCTTTCATGATTCAGACTATCTCCCTAACACACCAACCAGCAGGAAATGTACTTGTCCTGGTCCCAAGATCATGACGTAGGGCTTGGCTGAGATGCAGAGAGACCAAGGCAAACAGCAGGACAATAAACAAGAAGACAAATTAAAACATCCAGAAATGGCTTTGGGTTGAAGCACAGAGCTGCCACTGCAGGCTCCAGGTCTGACCTTCCATCTCACTCCGCAATATGACAAATGTCACATTGTGCTCCTTGTCAAACCTTGCTAGTCAAAAACGGCCCAATTAATGTCATACCTCACTCCCCCAGATTTAGCAAGAGAGAATGCTATAAAACAGGGCTAATTAAGAAGCCCACCCTGCCTCTTGAGTGTGTACTTCTAGTCTGTAATAAAACCTCCCAGACCATTGTAGAGTGGTACAAGCCTTTAATCCTAGCACTCTGGAGGTAGGCAGATCAGCTCTCTTGTGAGTTCGAGGCTAGCCTGGTCTATACAATGAATTCTAGTACAGCAAAAGCTACATAGTGAGACCCTGTGTGTGTGTGTGTGTGTGTGTGTGTGTGTGTGTGTGTGTATACACTTATATAATATATATTTTACATAAATATTATATAAAAATTAGACATACACATATATGTAACCTCCCAGTTCCTTATTCTGAATGCTTTCTTGATGCTAAAAAAAAAAAAATCCTGGAAACACGAGGTCTCTATTTGGCTTCTCTATATCTGAGACCTCTGCAGCCTTCTCTAGCAACAAAAGATATGCTGGCTGATTTTCCCAGAACAAAGGCATCAGGTAGGAGGATGGTCATTGTGGTTCTACAGTGAGTACTATACACACACACACACACACACATACACACTTCCAGAAGTGTTTGCTCTCCCTCTCTCTCTCTCTTTCTCTCTCTCTCTCTCTCTCTCTCTCTCTCTCTCTCTCTCCACCATTTCTTTTTAACAAGTTCCTCATTAAAGAGTTCTCAATTCTTCTCTTTTCTATGCTCATCCTCAGGAGCTTTGAGCTGCAGGTTCAAATCCCTCCTTATCTAGTAGCTGGTGTCAGGCTCCAAGAAGGTGCATAGCCTGCCCAAGGTCGCCTGCCTAAAAGGTGGTTGAGCCAGAACTTCAGTTTGACTCGGGTTATCCCAAGCACATTTGAGTATTGGTTTTCATCCTAATTTTGTCAGTGTTTCAAATTCCATCTATTTTCGTTTTTTCTTGTTTTTCTTTGCCTGAAGCGAAAAGTTCATTGATCTAAATAAAAGGCCAGCAATTTGGAGCTGCCTCATTTAGAATACATAAGCACTTTTACTTTGCTTACATTTATGGCATCAGAAGCATGTGCAGTAACAGCCCTTCAACTTATACTTAAACATTAATGAGATAATTTATTATCGGTGCTCTTGAGAATAACAAAGGAGGTTAGAGAGATGTGTGGGAAATGAGTTGGCACTGCCAAAGTGGCTTCCTGATACACTCAGGATTTATTTCCTGGAAGCACTGTGTGATGTAATTTGTTCTGCGCAGACAACGTAGTTGTTAGCCAAAAATTTGCCTATATACAAAAATGAAGCTCATAACAGTTTCTGTGTGTGTGTTTTTTTTAATGACCTCATGCTTGGGAAATACAAACATTTGAAAGAAAAATAAAAAATTGGATCAGATAACTAATATCCAAATAGAGTTGGTGCTTAACTTTTCCAAAGACCAGCCAGCCTACCGTGACTCTTTCTTCTCTGTGTTGTTCTATTAAGATGTGAACATTGACACAGATTATCAAAATGCTACCTTCAAGCACATCCAAAATTCTTGGCATTCCTAAACCTCTTAAGGGACTTAGAAGGGCAAGTTCAGCATCATAGAAGCCTAGACCTGAAGAACAGCTAAGGTCAGGCCTGAGTAGGTAACAGTAGAGGTTAGACTTGCTTCTGTGTCAAAGCAATCACATGATTCCAAGGGGAAAACATTAAGATGAATTACCTACTTTGCCTCTGGATAACAACTCTCCCAACAGCCCTTTATAATTCCAACCTTTCCCAGAATTCCACTCACATCCATATCTCTAGTTCTAAACCAGGCTGCTTTCTTAGACTAGATAAGGCCAAGTTTTTAGGGCCATAGTCTTTTGTCATTGTCATGAAACACGTAATAATTCTTATTTTTTTTTGGTTTTGTGAGACAGGGTTTCTCTGTGTAGCCCTGGCTGTCCTGGAACTCACTCTGTAGACCAGGCTGGCCTACTTAATAATTCTTAAGCAAGGATTCTTATTTCATATTGCTCTGGGGTTGATAAATTATGTAGACAGTCCTATTAAAATGAAGATGGTTTACCCTCACCATTGAGAAAATGTGGTTGACCTAGGGACATGGAGATGTTGACCTAGGGATGTGGAGATGTTGACCTAAGAACATAGAAATATTGGGGGGCTGAGTCAGTTTTTAAGGGACACCAACTTCAGCTTCTACCCCGATTCCCACCCTCCACATCCCAGATGCCACCTACCCTCTCCTCCCTCCTGAACTAACTCTGGGACAAGCCTTGTTCTATCATGTGCTAAGAAGCATATCATTGTAATTATCCTTGGACCCTTTTCTGGGAACCCCAATAATCACGGTTCTGTTTAAGAATTTGCTAATAGAAATGATGAAGTATAAGAATCCACTGTGAAAAATCTCCTCTCCATACCAGGTTGTTCTCCAGAAAGCCGAGTGTTCAAATCTCTTTATGAATGGATCAGTTACTAGCCACTCATGCTTTGACAATTTTACAAGGAATCTCGATTTAATTTTACAATGGCACATGTATATGTGTGTGTGCCTGAGTGTGTGTATTGCATGATATGTGTGCAGGTACCCACGGAGCCCAGAAGACATTGGATCCCCAGGAACTGATATTACAGGCAGTGTGGACCATTTCCTACCCGGACCATTTCCGGGTAGGAAGCTTCTATAAGAACAGCGAATATTGTTAACCACTGAGCCGTCTCTCTTACCTTGAAATAATTATTTAAAAACTCAAACAAATCCTGGGCAAACTTCCTGTTTCTCTGCAACATCAACTTTTCGCCACTTGTTTAGTCATGCTTAGTTTCTTATCTAAGAAGGTCAGAGGAGCCTGCCGGGTTTCCCCCACAGCTATGTATCCTGTTTTGGATTTACCAACTGGATGCATTGCCTTTCGTCCATAGCAACCCCTTTAATAGAGACAGACATATCTTTAAAAAGGGATGACTAATACAGGGTTATTTTAAGCAGACTTTCATAAACCCATTTTAAAACTCAAAAACACCTTATGAATCACCGCACCCCCATGTCCCGAGTTTCTCCACAGGATCAGGTTTCGCTCCTGGAATCATGACAAGTTCATAGCACACAGAAAGACCCCATGTGTACCAGTTCCACCTATGTCTATCTTAGCATACAGGAAGAAAGTCCATGTGGACCCTCCTATGCCTGTCTTAGCCCACTTGATGCTTAAATAGTGCCAGATAAGACGGAGCAAAAGTCATTAATAACCACTGCAGAAGTCAAACTGTGACTCAAGACACTGAAGTGGTATATGATCTTCACGGTCAAAAGGTTAACAAGAAAAAAAATTCCTTTCCTGTTTGTTTTAAGCACAGCGACCACTACAAACTGAAAACAACTGCTTATCGAAATAGTTTGTCATATAACCCCTGTGAAAAGCCCAAAGAGTGTCACCACGTGAGATATGACTGCCCTTGCTGTGGGGTCGTTTTCTGAGGAGGTTGCTGGTGACTGGCGGGCATGTGAACGAACCCTAGTCTGAGAAGGAGCCAGAGCTTGGAAGACATGGAGATCACCACCATACTGTGGATATCCCAGCACACTGTAGACATTCTGTACTTATATCCATGGGAATATCTGTGTCCCTCGTTAGAGGGTGTGTGTGTGTGTGTGTGTGTGTGTGTACAGGTGGAGGTCAGAAGACAACACTAATGTTCTTGGGATTAAGTCACCTTTGTTTTTCACGAGTCTCTAAAGGACCCGGAACATCTCCAAGTTAAGCTAGGCTGGCTGGCCAGTGAGCCCCAGGGATCTGCTTGTCTCTATTTCCCCTGCTCTGGGTTTATAAGCAGGGGTACTGGGGATCAAACTGAAATTCTCGTGCCCGACAAGGATTTTATAACTGATCTATCTCCCCAGTTGCTATGCCCTACCAGCCTCTTAGAGGCAGGAAGCCTGTGTTTGCTGCTCAACTTAACTTTTCCTTTTAAAGATTTTCTTTATTTAACTATGTGCAAATATGTGCCCGTGTGCGCGTGTGCCTGTGTGTGCCTGTGTGTGCCTGTGTGTGCCTGTGTGTGCCTGTGTGTGCC